TTTTTTAAAAATTGTACACGTTACAACAAGTTGTTCGTGTACAATTTTTAACTCCGCCTACTTAAAATTGATGTAGCCGGTCCCAAGACCGGATAAAGGAGGAGGGTTTGTATTTTATTAACTTTAAAAAGAAATCAAAAAAATATATTTTTTGTAAATGTATTTCAAAAAATAATTCGTTTTCATTATATAAATATTTTATACTTTATAAAAAGTATTACAAATTACAATATGATGTAAATAAAAAAAATAAAAACTTGTTCTCGTTAAATTATTTATATTTTTTAACACTTTTTATTTTTAAAACTCTATTCTTTATTAACTTTAAAAAGAAATCAAAAAAATATTTTTTTTTAAATGTATTTCAAAAAATATTTCGTTTTCATTATATAAATATTTTATACGATTATACCTTATAAAAAATATTACAAATTACAATATGATATAAATAAAAATAAATAAAAATTTGTTTTCGTTAAATTATTTGTATTTTTTAATACTTTTTATTTTTAAAACTCTATTCTTTAATTTCTATATATAAAAAAAAAAAAATAATTTAGGCGAGCCCACGAGCCGAAACTCGGCTCGGCCCACGAGCTCGTGGGTCGAGCTGAGCTCGCCCAATTTCAACAAGTCGAGCCCGAGCTCGGCTCGTTGAAAACGAGCCACGAGCACGAGCCGAGCTCGTGGCATTAAGGGCCGAGCCGGCTCGGCTCAGCCCATTGCCAACCCTAGTCACGTATTATTTTTTGTCACAAATCAAAAATTTTATGTCACAAATTATTTTACGATCACAATTTGAAATATATAGGTCACAATTTGTTTATCGGTCGCAAATAAAAAAAGATTTAAGCTACGATTTATTTATTGGTCACAAATCACGAATACTATAAGTCACAACTTCTTATACAGTCACAAATTATAAATTATCGGTCACGGATTAAAAAATTATCGATTACAAATTATAAATTATCTGTCACAGATTAAAGTTTTTAGTCACAGTTATCTAATTAATTAGTCACAGATTACATTTCATTCACAACTTATCAAATTTTTTGTTGCAACTTATTTCTCAGTCATGAATCCAAAAAAAAATTTAAGTCACAGAATCCAGAATTTTTTAGGTCACAGATTATTTTCAGTATAAAATTATTGGATTTATTGGTCATGATAAATTTTTCGATCACAACTTCATCAATTGTGAGTAACAATTGAGAGTCACAGTCACAATTTTCAAGTCACATATCCAATTATTAGTCACAATCAACCAAATTGCCACGTCACATATCCAATTATTAGTCACAATCAACCAAACCACCATGACCAATTGTGACTTCATGTATCCAATTACTTTGACACAATCAACCAAACCGGTATAACCACCACAACGATCGCCAATCCACCATTGTCACCACAACCCATCGTCGTCGCACACTCGTCATCGTAGCCTCACGCCACCGC